TTTTGGGACTGGGCAGGACAATTACTAAATGCTGCAGTGCAGCATGCAGGGTTATGCTAATTAGTGCCTTTTTAGACACGGATCCCTTCCTGTATGGAGACTAATACCGCAAACTGGTCCAATTTTAGACTATGGTACCTTTGACCTTACTCGTTCTGAGATTGGTCTGGAACAGAATAATTTATTTTTGACTTGGTGGTTATGGTAATTGATGAATTAAAAATTCCCCACACTGTCCCTTGGAATACCCTGCATTTACTCTTCCCTTAGGCTCTGCAAGCTGGCTTTTCAAAAAGCCTGATTTTTGGAGGCATAGTTTTAACAGTTTGGGCATAGAATAGACACACTCCCAGTGGAAGAATCCATGAGAGGCAGGTGTATCCTTACACACAGATATTGGTAGAAGACATGTCATGAAGTGGCTCATTCCATAAGCACTGCCTGTCAAACACACAAACCCTTTTGCACGTATGCTCTGACCGTGTGGTGTGAGGCCATGAGTAAATGTATCATTTGATAATTTAACTACATTAACTACTACTACTAAATGTTTTCCTAAACAATTACGTGTTTAGCACTTGCTAAACATTGTGTTTTCTTATTAGGACTGCTGGTAGATCATGTATGTATATGTATGTTGTATATAACATGTCTGTTTTCCTTATTGCTGACCCCCACGTAAAACCCGTGTGGTTCTTTGCTGGTACAGCACAGCAGATGCTTTTGCTTTTTCTGTTGTTGTAAACAAGATGTTGTGACTGATACTTCTTTTCACCATATGTCCTGAACACTCCCAGTTCATCGTTACATGTAATTTCCAGGATGCTTTGTAGGGTGTGTATGCCTCCACCCCATTTCAAAATCAATGTAGCTCTCAATGGATTGACTAATGACTGCAAGGTGTTACTTAGCATGCTGGTTTTGGCTGACAGTGCTGCTAGATGAACAGTTGTTTGCTTAATGTGTCTTTCATGGTTCTCATGTGAAGTAACTTATTCTGAGGAATTGAACATGTCAGTGACTTCAGGTCTGCTGGTAAGCATTTATCTGGCATGCTGCTGAGACCAAGAAGGAGCATGACCCCAACTTGGTGCCCTAAACACTGATAATGTTGCCTTGTCCCTTTAGCCATACCCTATGTTTGTATTGCCCTCAGACATTTCGTTATGCTGATCTCATCATTCCTACATCCATCAAGAATCTGTAGAGTAGGAGTGGGTGGGTGGCAAGAGCTAAAGAAAACTGTAATGAACCTGTAAAGGTGTTGTGCTGGTGCAGTGTATAAGATGTTGTAATTCTTTCCCACTGTGAGGATCTAGGACTGGTGGGACATTTTCTTTCATTTGTTTTCATTTATGTTGTTGTGTAGACATTCTCAACCCTCTTCTAACCCTCTCTGAGGCATAGAATATGCAGCACCAAAGAGAAATTGCTTGTGCACAGCAAAATGTATTTGCTTGTTATTATAGTGGGTGGACATGCCTTATTATTCACCTGTGATGTGTTGACCTTCCAGAAGGTCTACCTGGCATTTCAGTAATAGCATGTGTGTGGTACAGTACTGAGTGTGGTCAGGAATGGTGTCTCTACTAATCATTTTAATGAAAGCAATCCTGTGGAAATGAACAGAAACTGAATTTAAATTGTAAACATGAAAGAAGTTAAACTACAAGAAAGTGCATTCTTTGAGCATCTCTCACATCTGACTCTAGGTTTCTGTATGAGATGGCTGTCTCAGCCTTTGTCATATGTGCTGCATTGCTGGGCTGTCCTCACAATCTAGTAATTGGTTGCTTTTGGGAATTTAGCTTGTGTGACTTTTGTTTTCTCTCGATAGCTGGTGGAATTGTTCATGTTGCCCTTAGCAAATAACAGGCTACTCTTACTTTAATAGACCTATGGCAGCAAGCCGTGTGATTAGTTAGGTGCTGAGGGAGAGTTATATGTAAGCATTCTCTTGAGGTTAGTGAGATGCCTTCATGCAAGTTTTTGTAGCTCCACAGTGGCACAGATAAAGTTTATTTGTGTGCACATCATACAATCATAAGAGTATTCTGAGCTAGAAGAGAGACACAAAAGTCATTGAGTCAAGCTCCTGGCCCTGCCCAGGACACCCCCAAGAATCCCACCATGTGTCTGAGATCATTGTTCAAATGCTTCTTGAACTCTCTCAGGCTTGGCGCTGTGACCACTTCCCTGGGAGCCTGTTCCAGTGCCTGGCCAGCCTCTGAGTGAAGAATCTTTTCCTAACACCCAACCTAAATCCCCCCTGACACAGCTTTATGCTGTTCCTTTGTGTCCTGTTGCTGGCCACCAAAAAGCAGAGGTCGGTACTTGCCCCTCCACTTCCCCTCGTCGTGAGGAGGCTGCAGACTGCAATGAGGTTCTCCCCTTTGTCTCCTCTTCTCTGGGCTTACCTCAGCCATTTCTCATACAGCTCCTCCTCTAAACTATTTACCGTCTTGGTGGCCCCCCTTTGGGTGCTCACTAATAGATTTATATATTTCTTGCATTGTGGTGCCCGAAACTGCACACAGCACTTGAGGTGAGGTAGCACCAGCACAGAGTGATGTAATGCACCTTCTCAAACATATGTTCTTTTTGGTAGCATAATGCTGTAAGTTACAGTTCCTGCCTTTTTTTTCTGCTCATATGTGTACAGTCTTTTAATTCTGGAAGTTGGAGTTGAGAACCACTGTTTGAACTAACATTGACTGTGCCCTTCTTTTCACCTCTCAGTCTGAGGGTATGATTGAAGATGTTATGTTGATGCATATCTGCACTCAAATCTTCCATGAGTCAAGAAAAAGATAAAGAGATCCTGATGTAACTCTACCAATGTGTAATGTGGTCCCTGTGGAGAGGAAAAGATTATTGACATTGTCTTTACTGCTGATGGATGCCTGTGATGAATGTCCACATAAATTATTTTACTCTTGGTGTCAGTCTCAGCAACTTAGAAGCACTACAGGGTTATTTTTAGTATACACAGCTGTATCTTCTATATGGGATCTGGCCATAGTGCTCTCATTTGTCACGAGGGCAGATCTTAGTGGTGGGTTGTTATTTGGACTATTCTTGTGTGTGTCTACATGTTACTTTTATGTCAAAGAGAGAATGTCGGTAAAATCAGCGTGATATTGCAGAAAGGAATAGGTTTGCACTACACAAGTCCAGATCAAAGCATTCTTTTATAATGCCTTGCATTTTGAATGAATTTTGATTTAGTAAGTGCCTTTTTGTTCTTGCATACACTTGATAGCCAAGTTTCTTCTCCAGCTGAGTACTGAACAATGCTGGTTGGGGTTGTGGTAGGCCTTCTGTTGCAGCAGTGTGCTGTGGTGCTGGCACAGGCAAACCATTCGAGTGTGAATGATTGTCCTCACTGCACTGGGCACAAGATGCTCTGTTTTCCTTTGCTCCTTTGGTTAGGTTTCATGGGATAAGGACTCGATATTCCTGCCTGACTCCTGCAGTAGTCTAAGCATCTCTGATGACATGCTGTTGGTCTTTCATAGTCACTGTGCTCCTTTAGTACCAAAGTATTACTGAGTCTTTCCCATTTACAGCTGGATGTTGTAGTAGGTGATCTTTTATCTCCAGGTGCCTTTGAAAACTTCATGCTATCACCTGGCAGTGCATGTTTTTTTCTTATTTTATTTCTTGCCACAACTTGCATCTGCTGAAAGTAAATGTGCCAAACTCGCTTTGCTCTTATAAGAAGTAATAGTTCTGTGGGTTACTTTGCTTTGCTTAAGCGATAGTAAAGTTGGGTTTTTTTATTTTATGTATCTGCTAAGTCCATTTTTATGTGAACATTTGTTTATTTGGCTCCTGAAACAAAATATATTCTGTAGGATTTCCAAGGTCTCTAAACTTTTAAACCTGTAAATGATTTGATGAAGTGGACTGTTGTTTTTTTTTTTTTATCAGTAGGCTCCTTTTTTTCCTGTCTTTCACAATGTGTCATGGTCTGGTGAAGGCAGAATTTAGTATGTGTGGTTGGGGAAGAGTGGCTCAGCAGAAATGGTGCTTACCTCCTTTTTATTTCAGATTGTCATATTTTGACATGATTTTGGGATAGAAGTAGCTTTTTTCTGTTTCAGAAAAAGCTTAGCATTAAGGATTTGACAGATGTCCACCTTCTTTCTGACTTGGTGCTGTTGCTGCTCCTCATTGCACAGCACAGTCCCTGCTACAGTCCCTGAGCTAGTTCTTATGAAGAACTGTCAAAGTTAACACTTCCCTAGAATTTAATGTTGCCTTGAGAAACAGAAAACTCCAATAATTGATTCTAGGGAGTTCCCATTGGTTTCTTAGAATATCTTAATATTGTCTATATGATAACTTTCCTATTCTGGGTATTTATTCTTCAGATCATTCCTGATGCATTTGCTGTAAGTAAGTGCTTTTCAAGAAACAGTGTTTTTGCCTGCTTATGTGGCTTAATGCTTCTTGTTCACACAGCACAAATAAACTGAGGTGGTTTCTTTTCACATTACCTGTACTGTTCTTGCTGGTGTTATCACACTAATCTTGCATTTAGATTATAGGCTTCTGTGAACCTGATTCTGAAGCGATGAGAGAGTAGAGGTTTTTGCAAAAAACTCTTAGAAGTTATTTCAGATTTACTGTTATCTTCTTGCTTTCTGGACGGAGTTGTAGACTTTGGTTTCATTCTTGTCAAGTGTTATGCTGGTTCCTGTTAACATGTTTACCTTCACCACTCACAAAGGTAAATTTGACTGCAAGGTTCAGTTTTCCCTTTTGCTACTTTGAGAAATACCCAGAAAAAGAGTTTCATGATGCTGAGAAGCTAATACCTACATTTCATACTTACTTTTACTGAAATGAATTACATGGATGTTATAGCTTCAGAGCAGGAAGCCTAACTGTAGTCAAAAGAAACTGAGATTATGCTAATGAAGTTTTGCTTGATGTCTTCTGCTTTGTATTAAAATGTGTCATAATGAATACATTCTATTTCTTCTTCCCTACAGGTAAAACGAGAAAAACCAGAAAATTTACCAGATTTAGAAAACATGGCGCGAGAAAAATTCCTTGAAATGGAGAGCATGAACAGTGACTCAGATTTACAAAGGAATGAAAAATATATGTATTTTAAGGATCAACTTAAGGAGATGAAAAAACAATGTAAGTCTGTTTTTTTTTAAAGTTATTCTTTGAATGCTAAGCAGTAAAATCTGACTAACTGCCCTGAAATATCGAACTGCCACTTATGGCTCAAACTGATGTGAGTATTCTTAAAAACTTCAAAACCTACTTAAATTGATATCTGTGTAGAAAAAAACCAGTTTAATTACCTTGGTAGTTTTATTTAGACTCCTACAACTCCTGCTGTGTTTGAACAAAAATATCATGAAAACCACATTTTTTTTGTAAGGTGGGCTTTTCATTTGAAGACCTTTCGCATTTATTTTCTTAATTGATAGGATCTCCTAAAAGGATTAGGTAAGCTGTTTTCATTTGTCACTTAAACAAATTGCTCCTGTTTCACAACATAGGATGTGTTGCAACACTAAGAAGACCTTTGCTTTAATGGTAGAACTGTATTGTTGGAAAATGCTTACTGTACGTGCTCTCAGGTTTACAGCTTCTGTGCACGCAGTGTACAGCACTGCAGATTACTAAAATCCATTTTTTCCAAAATCATGTAATTTTTCAAGTATTAAAATTTTAAGTTATTTGTGCTTAAATTACCAGAAAAGTTGAAGAGTAAACAGTTTGGTTATTTATGCAACACAACAAAATTGTCTACTTTTATTGCCCCACACATACAGCAGTCATTAAAATATCACTCTGATTACTGTGCTGGGAAAGTTCATGGGCTCTGACACTATTTGTGTTGCTCTTCCCCAATCATGATTATGTTCTGAAATCATATTATTCTGCTTACTGTCCCTTGACCCCTGTACCTATTCCCTCCCATCCTACATTTTGATTTCAACACAAACTGGTATCTCAGGAACTTCAGGAGTCATAGATTAATGATTTATACAATTGGAAAATGATATTCTGGGTGCTCTCCTGTATCTCTCCTTTAATTCTGCGTTTTTTTAGAGCCCTATCCAAAACCCAAAGAAACCAATGGAAAGAATTTTCCCACTGGACTTTGGATTGCTTCCCTGTAGAGATTTGTAGGACATGTTTGACAATGTGAATTCAGATCTGGTATTTCAAGACTCCTTAGGATTAGAGCTTGAAGGCTTAATATATTTGTTTCCCATCTTTATGCATTTTAGCACTGATCTCTGAGTTTAATAAAGCTCTTGGCACTGCTCTAAGAATGAACATACCAAGTTACAGACCACAAAACAGTGTAATTTTCACTCCCATAACCATAAAATTATTACTGCTCCACCATTATGTTGTAATTTCTAATTTCCAGGTGTTTGTAACTAAGAAGATAAAAATCTTGATAACTGACTTTGGATTTACTTTCTACCTTGTAATTGCCTGAGGAAGGGGTGTATGCTCTAGTGATATATTCAGTTGAAGCTATGGGATTAAGTTCTAACTGGCCGACCTGTTGAAAAAAAAACCCGAATTAAATAAACACAATAGAAAATATTCTTTTAAAAATATGAGAATTATGAGGACATAATTCTGCTACTGCTGCTTCAAATCCAGATTTATCTTATTAAACACTTCACTTGCAATACCAGCTGAGGTGAAGATTAATAAAATCTGCAAAAGATATTACTAGTTTCCATAAGCTGGTGATTTACCTTAAAACATACTATATGTACATGTTGTTCTGGTGGAGTCATTTTGTAAGAAGAAATTAAGGTCATCCTGTTAAATCTTCACCATTCATGCTTAAGCCAAGTTATCTGTGTATTCTTTACCTTCTCCTATACGAGTTGTGATTTCAAAAGCATGAGTCCTACAATTCTGGCCTCATCTTAACAGCACATTATAATGTGTCTGCAGATTTCAGGACACACTTGAAAACTGCTGGATGTGAGTTACATGTATCAATAACTTCATCAACAACTACTGGTTAATATTTTGTTTTCAACTATTAGCCTTGCCAGGTGCAACTTAGTTCACAACTCCTGGCTTTTTTCAAGAACAGATACACCTCTGAGGTTCAGTTTTTAGCTTTTTTCTGGAATTTAGGTTTATTGCTCAATTAGATAAAACATAAAAACTCCTGCCAGATTTCTCAGAGGGGCTTTCCTGTTTTGTTTTGTTTCTTATTTTTGTTTGTTTGTTTGTTTTTGTTCCAATATTTGCTCTCTCAAAGGAGCAGATAGGGTAGATCTAAAATGATTTGTCTTCTAGAATGAGTTACCATTAATGATTATGTATCTTTTATGCAAAGTTATACATTTGTATTCTAGAACAGCTGAACAAGGAAATATTATATTCTTGCATTAGAAATTAATTGAGATTTGAAAGAGAAAAACTTTCTCAACACAGATTTAGGTATGGTGCAAACTGTGAAGCAGTTAAATACAACCTTATTTTAACAGAAAATTAAGCTAATATATTTTCCCTTTTGATATTTGCTGCCACCATGATGAAAGGAAGCTGCATGGTTGTTCCCTGTCCCCTGACAGGTGACAGGCAGTGCCATAGGTAGCTCAAATACTCAGGGAGGAGAATGGTGCTGTGTCACCTTCAGCTTGTCTTCCCTTTACAGTTCTGTAGGAAGGAGACCTTCTTAGCTTTGAACTCCAGCAGCAGCCAAGGTGCAGAAATTAAATTGGGCAAGTACATCTCTGTGGCAGTAAGGATGAGATCATGCCTCAGAGCAGTTTCTGTTCTGCTCGTCGTTCAGACAGTTTTCAGACATTTTCTCTCAATCTGTGAGCCTTTATTATGGAGCTACTTTAGCTGGAGTTTGTGAAGTGATGAAAAATCTTCACCTCTGATATGTGTCAAAACACTGTCAGACAGGTTTTATGTGAACAGCAAGTGATTTTTCTGAAGTCTGTTTTCAGAACTTAGTTTCCTAAATTCCCACTTCTTATTTTTAATGGGAAATAATTTCATTTTCCTACCAAAACCTTCTTAGACTGTAAGCAGTAGAAAAGAGTGTTGGTTGATTTTTCCTTTTTTTAACCATTTCTTGTACCCCCAAATGGCTACATTATTTTTTCCAAATAACTGAGTACTTGGAGGAATATTCACTAAATTTGGTAATACCAGAAAGTTCAAAACGATTGCATGTGTGGTAAGGAAATTTTTTTGTGTCCTTAACACTACATGACTGTTGCTGTCCTTAGACACCAGGGTCCTACATTTGCAAAATGTTTAGTGATCTCCTTTTGATTTAGTGAAATGCTTAAACAAGTTGCATAAATTAAATTTTATGAGTAGATCCTTTGAAATGAGTGAGATTGCTGGCATGTTTCACTTCCTTGTTGGAGCATGAAGCACAGTAGAGAGCCTTGCAGGAGTGAGCACATAGGAACTAAACCATTCAGGAGTTGTAACTTTGCATTTTGTGTCTTCTGGAAGTTTAAAATCCCACCTTCTGTTTGAAGTTGTATTACTGAATCTTTTTATTTCATGCCAGAATATATATATGCATATATTTATACACATACATATACACATATCAAAGGCATCTATCTTCTGGCAGAAATTATGAGAAATTTTGTCTTCACAGAATGAAACTAAGATCTTTCTTTATTCTCCATGTGTCAGTTTAAATGTATGATACTCTGTATGGAGAGCTCATCAAAAGGTATAATCTCTTCTCCTGTGACCCTAGCTGGCACTAGTGTATTTGCTGAAGGTTATTTAGTGTCACGTTTGGTGCACAAAGGATGACAGATTTCATAGCCCTTTTGTAGCAGCTGATAACGTGCACTTTGGAATCCTTGATAACTGCAGGTTCTGCAAACACACAACAGATGCATGCTTCAGTAGTGATTTTGTGGAAAATAAGATTTGAGTGAATGACAATATTGCTGGTTATGCCAAACAGTTTAAGGACTGGATTTGGCAAATATAGAAATTTTTATTTTATTTTTTTTAATGGAGGACAAATAATTTTGAGACCCCATAGTAGTTTTAGGCAAGTTTTTGTCACAGGAAACCAGTCACTGTAATGTAGTTTGGAAAGTAGCTACACTGCAGTTGTAAGGATCTTTCTTGCATTCTCCACTGAAGAAAAAAAGTCTCTGAGACTTTAAAAGGAAAAAGCATGTATCATTTTGGTAGTATGGATTTGTAGTCATTATCAATAAGCAAATATTTTGAAAGGAGAAGATTTTAAATTTAATGTTCAAGTAGATACCATATGCCCTGTTGATATGTGTATTTTAAGTTATGCATATGCTAAGAAATAATGGTGTGAAAAAATGTTTTTTTAGATACAGCTTGGGATAGAAAAAAGTCACTATGAAAGAAATTATCTTTAAATTTTTAAAGCAGTCTTTCACAGATTCCAGCAAAGACTGAGGTCTTTGGTTTGCTTTTAGTAGGATAAGAAAACAAGCTGCAGCAAGATACTGTGTATTATGTTGCTTGATGAGTTTCGTCCAATTAATCCTCACAACATCACATTGAGGTAGGCAAGTTAATTTTACTTCTTACCACACAGCAGTGGTGAAATTTGAGGAAATAGTTGAAGTTACTTGTATGGACTCACATAACTGATTTGCAGATCTGGGTTTCTCTTCAGTTGTAGTTTACTACTTAGTTGGCCTATTTTTGTTCCTATACTTAGCTCTGATGGCAGAGAATCAGCTGAAAAGTAATGGTAGTGTATTTTTCCTTATATTTTCAATATAAAAAATACTTTAAAATCCCCTTACTGACTAATTATGAGAAAACAACTTCAGCACAAGAGTTGAAAATTCCAGCTGAAAGTGGGATTGGTGTTATGACAGTTCAGTGATGTGTGTGGGATATGCACTTTTCATTTACGTAAAATCCCTTACAGACAGCCCCTTGACTAGTAAAGAAATGAGAGGATCCAGCACTTGAGAAGGTCATTTGAAGTTTAGGAGTCTTTGGTTTAGGTCTTTGCTTTGTTACCTTCTTCCTGTCTTAGATTGAGTACTTTAAGTTTCAGAACAGATCACTGGGAGTTAGGTCCCTAAAAACTTTGTGGATCTGGACCTTATACCCAAGTCTGGAATTCAGTTCTGGGTGTTTTGTGTTTGGGGACTGTG